CCTGCCCTAGCTCATCACACCCCTTTATTGACTCTGCAATTACCTGTCACCCAGCCTTCCTGCCTCCTCTTCCTCGACCCATCATTGGCCTAACTGCCACATGGATGTTTTCATTGTTGTTTGATAATTAATATCAAGTCAATTTGAAATGCACATGAGCTTCACAACCATTAATTTTTTAAAAAAATTTTCCTTTCTTAGTTTCATTTGAAACATTTCAAGCTTGCAAAATTTAAAAGCTAAAATATCCATGAGCCCACCAGATTGCTAACCTCTTTTATTTGCTCAATTGTGATCCCTGTACACATACATATTTTGAAGTTAAAGGCATTATGACGCTTTACCCCTATATTTCAGCATACTTGTCTTAAAAATGGTAAAGACTGAGAAGATGACTTCGTGAGTAAGAGCACTTGTTGCACAAGAATGAAGATCTGAGTTCAAATCCCCAGAACCCATGTAAAAAGCTAGCATGGCCAGGGCTGGAGAGATGGCTCAGTGGTTAAGAACACTGATTGTTCTTGCAGAAGACCTTGGTTCAAATCCCAGCACTCACATGGCAGCTAACAACTATCTGTAACTCCAGTTCCAGGGGATCCAACAGCCTCTTCTGTCCTCCGTGGGCATTGCACGACAGGGGTGCACTTACCTACATGCAGGCATAACACTCATACACATAAAATAAAAATAATAAATAAAATATTATAAAAACAGCTAGCCATTTGTACCTGTAATCTCAGCATTGTGAGGAACAAGGCTTGCTGGGGCTTGCTGGCTCCCAGCCTAGCTCCAGGTTCAGTGAGGGGTGCTGTCTCAAGGAAATAAGGCAGAGAGTCGTAAAGCAGGACACCAAACATCCTCCTCTGGCTTCTGAATGAATAAGCATGGGCCTGCACACCTGTGCACACACACATACACCACATACACTTATACCACATGCACCCACATGCACATTCACATAAACAAGGGTACACTAAAACACAAACCAACCAACCAGAGACATCATCCTATGTAATCATTAATCAAAATGCCTTGATCACACCTGAGAAAGATGACATTAATAACATCATCCAACAAGCAGTCCTTGTTCAGTTCCCTTTATCCCAATGTTTTCTTTCATTGCTTGGCTTTGTGTCTTTAGTTTCTTTTACTCTTTTTTTTTTTCTGTTGAGAATTTCCCACATGAGTATTGTATTTGCATTATTTCTACCCATCCCAGTCCCCCCAAGCTTCTCCCATACCCCCCATAATTTCTTTTCCTCTTCATTATTGTTACACACACACACACACACCCACACACACACACACACACGTAAAATGCACTAAGTCCACTTAGTGGTACTCCTGTGCACCTGTGTTTAGGGCTGCCCACTTGGGATGAGATAACCTCTCAGGGAGCTAGTCCCTGGAGAAAACTGATTCTTTTAATCTTAATCGGCCCCAACTTCCACTGTAGTTTCATTTGTTGTGACATTGAAAATTTTGAAGACTACAAGCCAGTGTTTCATAGAATTGTACCGAATGATTTATGATATTGGGAAGAAGGAGAAAAAAATGGCTAAATGATGCAGGTCTGCAGCTGTATAGGAGAAATAACACCTGGTATCCTATAACACAGGGTAACTATGATCATCAACACACAGTTGTACATTTGAAACAACTAACAAGATTTTGAATATTCCCCAATATAATGTAATGGTAATATTTGAGGTGATAGAATAGTAATTTACCCCATATGATCGCTATACTTATACTTATGAGTTAAAATATCACACTGTACCTTGTAAAAATACACAATTATATGTCAGTTTTAAAAATTAGCCTACCTCCCCCACCTAACTTTGAGCATTCCTTTCTCACTTAAGTCCCCTCACAGGAGCCCACTGAGGAAAGGTTAAGGTCAATCAGCTTCCATGTCACACCTCCAGCCATATTGAATAGTTCATGATTAGTCTCTATCTGTCCTTCCACATCCAACTCTATGATTTTCCTGCTCCTGGACTTAATTCATGTGGTTCCCCCAGCCTGGAACACCCTTTCCTGTCTCCTTCCCCAGGAAACTTAGTGGTGCTTAAAAGACTCCAATTTGGGCAGCAAATTCTTCAGGAAGCCTCAACTGATTGCCCTGCCTGGTGTTCTCCCGTTCTCCATTCTGTCCATGTACGCTTCATACTGTTTTCTAAAATTGGGTTGTGCCTGTCTCCTCTGCCTGATGACTGAAAACAGGACTCTCTTACTGTATGCCTGTCCTACTGTATGCCAGGACTCTCCTACTGTATGCCCCTCCTACTGTATGACAGCCTGAATGAGCAGCAGGAGAGTGAAAGCAAAGGGGAGGAGGCTCCTGCTGCTCTGCTTTTAACTTCCAGTCGGAAGGGATCAGCTCATCCTTCTGTAGGAAGAAAGAGATAGGGGGAGCATGACTGGGGTCCTTTCCAAGGATGAAGGCAGAGGGTAGGCTCTGAATGGGGAGGCCTATAGCTTGCACCTCTATAAACCTTCCTAAGCTGAGCAACTTCTGAGTTTCCCAATGATAATCAATGCTTTGGTGTGAAAAAACCTTTAGGCCTGTCTTCAAGATAGCCAGAGGTGGAGCTGGGAGTCACCTAATGCCAGTGTTGGGACAATTCCCAAGGCAAGGCATTAGGAACAGTGTCAAACAGGGGAAGAAGGAAGGCAGAGGGCCCAGGCCTTGACTAGGGAGGAAAATGGAGTAGAGAGCTGGGCTAGACCTAAGAAAATGTGGGTTTGCTTAAAAAGATAGGCCCTTGAAAATCTAGCATGGAGAGCTGTTTTAGCAGATGACAGAGTTTCAGCCTAGTTCTAGACCTGAAAAGATTGTTTTTGGACCTGACAATAGCCTCTATCTTTGGAAGAAATGGAAAAAGGGGGGAGGAAAATACTTCTAAATCCAGAGCCCCTAAGTTTTATTTTCCATGTCAACTCCAATCAACTGATAGAGGCCTTTGGATTGCTAAATCAAGGAGAAGTCAAAAACCATCACCAGACTCTATTAAAAAGGGATGGAAATGATGGTTGATTAATCATGTCTGCCTTAGGAGCAGGTAGGAAGGAACTGGGAAAGATCTGGTAGTCAAAAGAGGAGAGAAAAGATAAAAGCACAAGTACCCAAAAGGTATTATGGAATGATTTAACTATGAGAGGCTATCTATGTATTATACATGGGTGGAAATATGAGTTCTTTCACTGGACAGGGGGTGCCTTAAAAAATGTGACCACCTCCCATGAGGATCCACCCACTCCTCTCAAAGCTACACCATCTCTCAACACTTCCTCAAGGATTAAGTCTTTAGCATTTGAGCTTTTGGAGGACAAACCACATCCAAACCATAGCACCAGGGAAGGAAGACCAAAGCAGTCACTTAGCTGTTCACCATGGTATAAAAGACAGGGTTCATAAGAGGAGCAAATGAAAACAAGTGCGGCCAGGATAGGCCATCTGAGGGCATGCTTGGAACAGTGTTCACTGAGGGGTTTAAATGCTCAACTTTGGAAACCACTGTATTAAATGTCCTTAAGTGGAGTTCTTCCTTGTGAGACTTTCAAGGAACTTTAAGATGCTCTTCTGCTCTCTGGTCTGTCAGAGGGCTTGCAGAGCTACTTTTCCACTGGATTTATGTTCTTCTGAACATTCTTTGGAAAATGCTGAAATCAAAGAAGCATTTAGAGAATCATCCGCCTTGAGAATGAGAAATGAACACTATGAGGGTTGTGGCTCAACAAATACGCCTTCTCTCAGCAAGGAAAGATGAAGAGCAAAGGAGGTAGCAGAGAACAAGGGTTGGGGTGGGGGGGTTGAGTGGAGGAAGGAAGGAAGGAAGCAGCGTCCTAGAGAGATGTGTTGGGATCAGGAAACACTGGAGCATCAGGCTGAGAGAGGACTAATGAATCAAGGGTAGGGCATTGCCCAGTGCATGGTGTGTGTGGTCCCTTCTGTCATCACCTTTACTCTCAGCAGCATTGCCAGGAGAGTGATGCAGCCCAGCGCCTTACTACTTTGCAGACCCTGTATTGTCACATATTATTTCCCTTTATTCCCATTTTACACATGAGGAAATGGAGGCACATGCAAATTAACATGGGCAGAGTCAAAGTTACAAAGCTTCTACCAGGCAGCAGTCTGAAGGCAGAACCCACGCTTTCACTACTACGGAGCACAGCAGTAGAGGAAGGATTGGATTTCCATTATGTGATACAAAAAGGATATGTCACAGGAGTGCAGCACCGAGGCATTTGGAGGAAAAGGAAAAGACAAAACCAACCAACCATCGTCACTTTTGGTAGCAGGCTACACAGGGCCAAAGAACTGCAAGACGGATCTTCACAGCACATCCAGATGTTTAGATATAATCATATGTTCTCTCTCTTTTTAAGCTCTGTGTTTACTATCTCTTCTTAATTTAGATCACAAATTATCTATCAGTCTATACTGGGCTTATTTGAGATATTAAATTTATTGACAAAGGAATTTATTGATAAAATAAGATATTTTTTAATATTAAAAACAAATGCTATGACTACTGTACTGACAATAACCCTCCCACAGATTTCACAACTGCCAGCTCTCTTGCTGGGTATGAAGGTCTCAGAACAGTTTCCTAGGGCAGATTCCAAAAACGTGAATCACAACTCAAGTCATTTTGGCTCAGAAACAGATCTGTATTAAAAGCTAGCATCGATCCCTTGTCCTAACTGCTGATCTCTGTGCTTCAAATCTGATGCAAACAGCAAATCAGACTATTTTGGGAGAGGAAGGAACAATTTCTACTCTCCAAACTAGCCCAAGATGTGAAAAGCTTGTACTTTAAGCATCTTGAATTTGCTAAAAAAGGTTCTGTTAGAATGCTACCATTACAAACTAGGGGCCTTCCGGAAGCAAAGTTAGTGTGATTTATGAATCTATGCAAAATAAACGAATGCTATAGACTGGCGAGGTAAAATGGAAACACAGTAGCTTGCTTGTAAATTGCTCTATTTACCTGATGGATGGTGAGGATAGGCTTTGGGCTCCCTGGTTCAGAAAGGCTGAGGGGTAGAGCGTTCAAATTGTCTCTGGCCTGGTGGGAGCTGCTGTGCTTCACGCTGAGTCTGCTGCTTTTAAGATCCCATTGGAAATCCCAAAGGACCGGAGAGCCCCAAGGCCAGTGCTCATTTCCAAGAGAATAAGCCGCGACTGGCTATCCACACCCCTCTGCTTGCGTTAACTGAATGGCTCGGGTTTCTTCCACTCCTCTGTGAGCAGCTGAGAATCCAGGCTTTGCGCTGGCAGTGAGGCGGCCTCTGAAACCACTTCCAGATGTGCGGGTTGGCAGGCGGCTGGATGGGCCAAACTTCCTCTCTCAGCCTCCCTTTGCAGTCTTCGTGCAAACTCGCTCCAAAACAAGGCTGTGCTGGAGGAAAAGATTTAAAACCAGAAAAGAGCAAATGGCTGGAGAGTGAACTACCGCGGTAAACTTTGAAAGGGAATGAGCCAGCAGTCAGGTTCCTGCTCAGAATCTCATGGTCACTAGCTGCTCCTGAAATCTGTGCCTTGAAATGTTGGCCCAAATGAAAACCCAGACAACTATGTTTTTTTGTTGTTGTTTTTTTGTTGTTGTTTTTTGGTTTTTTTTTTTTGGTCTTTTTGAGACAGGGTCTCCCTGTAGCCCCAGCTGTCCTGGAACTCACTATGTAGACCAGGCTGGCCTCGAACTCACAGAGATCTGCCTGCCTCTGCCTCCTGAGTGCTGGGACTAAAGACATGCGCCACCATGCCCGGCTGTACATTATTTTTTTAAAGTGTTGTTTCCATTAAACCTTTGAAATCTGGTGTGCATTTTATATTTACACCAGAACTCAATCCTAACATTACATTTCATTGGAAACACTTGATATGTAGATTTCATAACATTTACAGTTTAAGCAGTAGATTCACATGCTGGACCTAGTGGTGTAGGTCTATAATCTCAGTTGCATGCAAGGCAGAAGGATTGCAAGTTTAAGAATGTCTGGGATGCAGAGTGAATTCAAGGCCTACCTGGGCAACTCAGTGATTCAAAACAAAAAGTAAAAAGGGGTGCGGGGAGGGAGGCTGGAGAGATGGCTCAGCCTCTTACAAAGGATCCAAGTTTGATTTCCAGCACCCATACTGGGTGACTTACAGTTGCCTCTAACTCTAGCTCCAGAGGTATCCAACCAGAGGTATCCCATTGGACTCTGAGGACACATGCCCCACACACAATTCACATAATTAAAAATAATAAATAGACATAGTGGCACCTGCCTTTCTTTAGTTCTAGAACTCTGGTGGCAGGAGCAGGAGGATCTCTGTGAGTTTCAGGTCACCTGGTGCTACGGGTCTATAAGGAGACCCTGTTTCAAAATACCATAAACAGATAAATAATAAATAAATAAATAAATCTTTAAAGAAAATGAAAAGAGGGATAGGTAGCATGCTTATCAAGTATGGGCAAGGCCCTAGACTTAATCCCTAGTTAGATTCACAAATCCAGACTGTTTTAAATGCAATTGAAATTTTTCCAGCAGCCGACCTCCATCAGTGTAGGGGCTGAGATCTCAGCAGACCGCGTAAGAGTGCCTGTTCTGGCCTCCCTCTGGCATAGGGACTGAGAACTCAGCAAACTGCCTAAGAGCACCTGGATCCAGCTTCCACGTGGTGTAGATGGAATCCCACTGAAATGGGCCAACAGTCCATGGAAAACTGATGATGCAGAGACCTGGAAGTTCAGTGCCTTGCCACAATAGAAGGAAGATCATGCCACACCTACCACCCCCTCTAAGACTCAGGGACTTTTGTGGAAGAGGTTGGCCGAAAGAATGTAAGAGCTGGAAGAATGGGTGGAGTGTTAACTGGACATGTACTCCGACCACTATGCTGGCAAGCTATAGCCACACCTCCTTCCCATGCTCATCAAGGAGTCGAGGGGGGAGTCAGTTACCCCTCCCACCCAATCAGTTGACCTTAGCTGCATGTGGGGGAGGGTCTAAGGATATATAAGCCCAGAATGCCAGGAGGCACCTCTCTCACCATTTTGTGTGGCTGTCAGGAAGTCACAGGATCTATATTTGAGTGTGGAGTTTCCAGTGCAGCTGGAAATGGGTGCCCACTCCTCTGTAAATAAACCCCCACCCTATGCTCTGTTAAAAAAAAAAAGAGAGAGAGAGAAAAGAAAATGATAGGTGTTTGGATAGATAGATGAGAGGGATCTGACTAAAGCACAAGTGGATGGACTTGCACTGGGGAATGTCTGGGGACACTGACTTTGTGGAGAGCCACAGCCTCCGCCGCCATTACAAGATGGCGCCGGTATCCGGACCTTCTTAAAAGTAAACATCCTGCCACACCCATAAGGGGCGTGCACAAGAGCCTGCTTTCCCCCGCCTCCTCCCGTGGCGTGATCTCCAGCAACCAATCCGCTTCTTATGATCTCCAGCAACCAATCTGCTTCTTATACGTCATAAATGGGACCTTTGGGGCATATATAAGCAACAGCTCTCCCACTTCTCGGCGTCTTTGGTCTTCAGTCTTCAAATAAACTGCTGCAGAAGGATCCTGACTTGTCCTCCCGCGTCGTTCTTGCTGGCGAGACGGAAAGCGGTCAGGGACAGCTGGTGCCGAGACCCGGGACTTAACATCGCTGGCGCCGCCCAAAGACCCCTCCAATACAGGAGGAGGATTCAGAACTGCAGGTAGGTTCAGAGAGGTATGGATATTGTGGAGATTGCTGGAATTGTTTTTGCCTTGATTATGGGAGCCTTTGTAATTCTGCTTCTTACCCTATGCCTCCACGCGGGTTACTGTCAGGAAGTTATGGAGGAAGGGCAAATGGTTCTAGAGGATCTCCAGGACAGCCTATCAGAAACCGAACGAAGTGAAAGGATGGGAGCACGTGCAAAAGAAAATAGGGCCCAAAGTGAAAATGGACCTCCCGGTAAGCCAGAGGAAGGCAGGGGAGAGAGCACTGTCGAAAAGGACGGAGCAAGAAACCAAGTAACAGGTTTTAGACA